GTGCCCATCTTTGCATGAAATATTCCCTTGGTATCTCTAATTTTCTTGAAGAGATCTCTAGTCTTTCCCATTCTATTGTTTTCCTCTATTTCTTTGCACTGATCACTGAGGAAAGCTTTCTTATCTCTCTTTGCTATTCTTTGGAACTCCGCATTCAGATGGGTTTATCTTTCCTTTTCTCCTTTGTTTTTTGCTTCTCTTTTTTCACAGCTATTTGTAAGGCCTCCTCAGACAGCCACAGGACTCATTATATTTTTTGTTGTCCTGATGACAATAGCAATATATGGAATTAGTGTTCCATTCTAAGGGTTGTTCAGATTTATAAATAGTATTGCTGTGGTTTTTATGGTGTTTTATCATGGAATGAAATTTACATCAACCCCCTCAGTATCATTACCCAGTGACTGTTGGCATTGCACCAAAGAAAAACTGCCAGTAAGACAGTTCTTGTCGGGCTAGCTCCATTATTCCCCATTCTTACCAGCAGAAGTAGTATATGGATTAGTATAGGCTGAGGGTGGAAATCGACTTCTCAGTTTCTTCTTTGAAATGATTTTTCCTGGCTTTTGATCCAGTGGTGAAACCATGTGATTGGAAGCAAAGTCAAATGGGCTTTACCAAAGTAATTACATTCCAATTTAGAAATGAAAGAGCAGAACAGAACAGCAGAGTTCTGGGAACTTAGAGGCACACAGGGGAACTGTTCAGTTATGATTTGATTCTCCAAATCAGTTCACGTTTCCAGATTTAAAGCACATGTATTTGTAATTGCAGTTAACTGATCTTTTGCTAAAAGATGACGGTGATATGCTTGGGCCTGGTGCACTGGGAAGACCCAGAGGAATTGGGTGGAGAGGGAGGTGGAAGTGGGGATCAGGATGGGGAATACATGTAAATCCATGGCTGATTCATGTCAATGTATGACAAAAACCACTGCAATATTGTAAAGTAATTAGCCTCCAACTAATAAAAATAAATGAAAAAAAAAGGAAAAAAGAAAGAAAAGATGACAGTGATATGAAGCATGTCACAAAGCTTGTACAGCCTTTGATTTTGTCCTTGGCTCACATTTTCTTCTTAGAAGACCCACCACAGCTCTACCATAGGATAAGTCCTTTCTTTCTATTCCTCTCTTTGTATGTTTCAGAAGATGTTTCCT